CACACACACACACACACACACACACACACACACACACACGAAGCAGAGAGCTAAGTGGGAATGGCACAAGGTTTGTGGAGCCATCCCTCCAGTTCCCCCCGCCAGAGTTCTTTCACCTTCTAAACCACCCTCCCTTATCCCTGGATCTGAGTTAATCCTGTATGTGTGACGCTGACTTCTGTTTGTCGATTTTTATCTTCAAAAGCATCAGTGAGACAAGGCTTGGAGCTGGGCATTGTTGGCTCCCAGCACTTCAGAGACTGAGGCAGGCAGATCTCTGTGAGTTCGAGGCCAGTCTGATCTGCAGAGTGAGTTCCAAGACAACCTAGGCTGGCCTTGTACTCACAGAGATCCACCTGCCTCTGCCTCCCGAGCACTGGGATTAAAGGCGTGCGCCACCAATGCCACCACCACCAGGCTCATAATGTAATTTTTAGAACAACCCTGTGACATTAATGCTCTCATTGTTAACTGTCCTCATTTTATGAATGAAAGACTTGGGCTACATACATATCAAGTTATATAGGCCATCCTAGGCTAAATGCTGAATCCCTGTCATACACACACAAAAAAGACAAAGACAGGAACTGATGCTCACAGATTCTAGCTGTGCTCAAGGTTTCCCATTGATGAATGGCAGTGCTGTGCATCCTAGTAGCTGAGTGCAGACAGCACTCTCCTTGCCTGGGTACTTTCTACTCTGTCTCTACCATCCCTAGACAGAACCGTGGTTCTGAGAAACATGGGCGACCGCGTGTTGTGAATGAACTGCATTTGGTTGGCAGGGGTCTCATGTACAGGGTAGATAGAGTGAGTTGTGACTGAAATCCAGCTCATTCTCATCATCAAACCACACTGAGGAGTGGACACTGTTAGATCCCCAGAAAACTCAGGCCTTTAGGGTCTTAGCCCAGGACCTCGGTCACCCCAATCACCAGGCAGATTCGAAAGCTTGCTGCAAACTGCATGAGGCTTTACTGTTTTTTAACGAGCTAACCCCATGTTAGCTCAGGTCTTTCACTCACCCGCCATGGTGGATGGCTAGGAAAGACAGCTTGAAGCGTCTGCAGAGAGATCTTCTAGGGCAGCGTAAGGGGAGTGTCTAGGGGTATGCACAGGCTCAGGATTGGTGTACCTCCAGGCTTGGAGGGCTTGCCCTGTGTTGATTGGTCAACTGGTTGTTGTGGTCTATAGGCCCTCCCAGGGTGGTTGCTATGCTCTGCTCGTCATTGCTGTGCACTTGTCTGTAAAGCACACCCAGAGCCGGAAAGCTTAGCGCCGCCAGCTAACTTCTGATTGGTTCCTTGCCACGAGGCAGGCACCTGACTTCTAGTGACTAGGACAAGGTCATGGCAAGCACGCGTTACTGTCATGGCTGCCGAAATAGGGAGCCCATCCCTTCAGACACCATGGCTGGAGGCAGTTCACATAAAACAGCCACATAGGCCAGCTGCTCTAATGAAGGACTCTCATGGGCTCTAATGAAGGACTCTCTCTTCTCTCCCTCATGGCATGTTCCCCAGACTGAGCTGTGCCCCAAGAAGACAACAGGATGACCAAGGTCAAGGTGAGTTGAGCTTTTTCATTTGTTTTGTTTGGTTTTGGTTTTGAGACCAGGTCTCACTATGTAGCCCTAGCAGGCCTGGAACTTGTTACATAGACCAAGCTGAACTTGACCTGGCCAAGTTGAGCTTTTTCTAGGTTTCAAAGTGTTATCTACCCGGCCAGTGACACCTGGCCTTTAATCCCAGCACTCATGAGGCAGAGACAAATAGATCTCTGTGAGTTTGAGGCCAGACTGATCTATAGAGCTAGTTCCAAGATTCAGAGAACCCCCACATCAAAAGAAAACAAAACAACTCCCAAACAAAAACAAAGAGTGTTATCTAACTTCTCAAGGATTCTGACATCTTGTTTCTTTCTCTGGGGAAGAAAGGAGCAGAACAGTAGGTGTTTGAGAACCTGCTGGGCAGAGCTGGAGAGGCAGGCTGCTCAGCAGTTAATAGCACTGGCTGCTCCCGAGGAGGATCCGGGTTCAGTTCCCGGCATCCACAACCATCTGTAACTCCAGGTCCTGGGGGTCTGCTGACCTCATCAGGCCTCTGTACCTGGTACATAGACATACATGCAGGCAAAACACTCAAACACAGAAAAGAACATGTTTTTGAAACAAGAACCTGTTGCTAAATGCTTATTAACCTTTTATTTTAATATTCATTTCTTTTTGTTTCTAAAAATTACCTCAGAGGACCGGAGAGATGGTTCATCAGTTAAGAGTGTTACTGTTATTATTATCAGGACAGGGTTTCTCTCTGTAGCTTTGGAACCTGCCCTGGAACTTGCTGTGTAGACCAGGCTGGTCTCGAACTCACAGACATCCGCCTGCCTCTGCCTCCCGAGGGCTGGGATTAAAGGTGTGTGCTGCCACCACCCAAAGAGTGTTACTTGTTATGATAAATATTTTCGCCATCTGCTTGAGTTCTGCTCGCTGTGTTAGGGCCCTAAATAATATATAGAGACTTCTATTAGGTACAATGCTGCTTGGCCAATGACTAGGATTCTCATCTGTTAGCTCAGTCTCAATTATCATAAACCTATATGCACTGGGATTAGTGCGTTCAAAAGAGTTGAGGGTATAAACTCTGACAAACTCTGAAGTCTGCACAGGAGAAGAATTCTAGCAGACTTCAAAGGACTCCTGTGACTGAGGATGTAAGCCCTTCTCCCGGTGGGTGCGAGATGCTGCAGACAAAAATACCCCTTCCTGGTTCACTCTTGAGTGATGGGGCAAGTCCTCCTGTATATATCTTTCTCTTATTGGTTGATGAATAAAACACTGATTGGCCAGTCATCAGGCAGGAAGGATAGGCAGGGCTATGAGACCAGGAGAAGACTGGGGAGAGGAAGGGTAGAGAGAAGCCTTGAAGGAGAAACCAGGTAACTGAGGAAGGAGTAACAGGTGTGGACCCTTCCCCAGTAAGATAAGACCACGTGAAAACACTTAGATTAATAGAGATAAGTTAATAATTAAGAGAGAGCTAGCCAATAAGAAGCCTGAGCCATTGGCCAACAGTTTTGTTTTTGTTTTTTTTGTTTTGTTTTGTTTTGTTTTGTTTGAGACAGGGTTTCTCTGTGTAGCTTTGGAGCCTATCCTGGCACTGGCTCTGGAGACCAGGTTGGCCTCAAACTCACAGAGATCCACCTGCCTCTGCCTCCCGAGCACTGGGATTAAAGGCGTGCGCCACCAACGCCGGGCTGGCCAACAGTTTTATAATTAATAGAAGCCTCGGTGTATGTGTTTGGGACTAAGGGTGGCAGGATCAGGTAGAACAGGTGGATCCCCACCTGGGATGACTGTGCTTCATCTGGGGATCCCGAATGTTCAGGTAGTGACCAGTTTCCAGGTGAAAAGTTCAAGCAGCCTCGTTGGCCATGCTGGTTCTAAAGCATGCTGGATTCACCCCCAGGAAGCAAGTGGAAAAAGTTCTGTGAACACACCCTGCGGGTGCTAGTGATATGTATTGGACAGAAGCTAGAGATGATGGTGAGCATCCCGTAGTACAGCAGACAGCCCTCCCCCAGCTGAGACGCATCTGGCATATAATACAAGTCGTGTTCAGTTTGGGACAAGGTACTGTACACAGCTATGCAAGAAGAACAGGGCTGGGGATATGGCTCAGCGGCAGAGCTCTTGCCTAGCATTCATGAGGCCCTGGGTTCAATCTTCCATTTCTCAGTATCAAAAAAAAATTGTTTTTAATTAATCTGATTAAGCTGATGAATTTTCCAGGCACGGAGGTTCACACCTGTAATCCCGGCACTTGGGTGTCAGGGGCAGAGGTGGGAACATCAGTACAAGTTCAGGGTCGGCTTGGTCTACATAACAAGTTCCTGATCAACCGAGGCTACAGAACAAGACCCTGCCACGAAACCCACAAAGGAGCAATTACAAAAAGTGGGTGGGTAGTGTGGAAACATGGACTCTGGGTTCGTAGCTCGGGGTTTGCTCCCTACTCATGGTTCCCATGGTTCTCAGAGCTGTCCTTACAGAAGACCAAGGTTAAAGTTGAGTGTTTGGTGTCACAGGAGATGGTGACGTTCAGGGACGTGGCCGTGGTCTTCAGTGAGGAGGAGCTGGTCCTGCTGGACGCTGCCCAGAGGAAGCTGTACCGTAACGTGATGCTGGAGACATTCAAGAATGTGGTGTCACTGGGTGAGGCCAGACACTGGCGCCACACGTCAGGTCCATGCAGTGTGGCCTCGGATGTGATTGGAGCTCTTGCAGTAGTTTCTAGTTTTCTAGTCATTGTGTGATACAGAATCGGAATCTCCCTAGTTTTATAAATGAAGTAAAAATTGAAAGCATGGTAGTATGTTTTCATCGTTCTCAAACGACAGTATCAATTAGTGGGTGGTGGCACACTCTGAGTCATTCCTACAAACATTGTTTTCACTGAAATAAGATGAAGCAGCTGGAGACAGAGCCCATCAGTTAATGCCGTCAGCTCTTAAAGAGGACCAGAGTTTGGTTCCAGGCACCCACATCAGGTGGCTCACAAACACCTGTAACTCCAGCTCCAGGGGATCTGCTGCCCTCTACTGGTCTCCGTGGGCACCTG